TCCAAGACTGTGACAAAAATATTGGTGGCTAGGCTCTGTCTCGATCAGTTGAAAATTACTGGAAGTTCACCTTTTTTTTTATATCGGCTCAGTTTTGGATGAACAAACGTCTTCGAGCTTCTGGAAAATAGAAGGAAGATATGCCCTTTGATTCCCGTCCCAGTTCTCTTCGGTAAAATGTGGCCCATTAAGAAAACATATATTTACAACGTACTCATCAGTAAGCATGATTCGACTAATTGATTTTCATCGCGGGATGTGCCAAATGATCGAGATAAGGATGAAAGGAATGAATACGCGCAATTGAGAAACAGGGAGCGTATATCGTACCATCCTTACACATCGACGATGTATACACGCCTATGTGTGCACCTCAGTACCGTTATCAGCCATATTCCTGCAAGTGTCCGTATCTAATGGATGCACAAAGAAAAAAAAGACGCTCTTCGAGCTGACATAGCCATCAAACACGAGTTAAACTTTCGAATCACGGAAGGGGAAAAATAAATCCTCCGAAGCACAAAGTCGCCCGCACGATACAAACACGCCATAAGGCACGGCAGGGACAAGGTACTTCCATGACCGAAAACAAACAAAAGTACAAATCCCACACGTCCCCTTTTGGGCACAAAGACGATCGTAATTGGAACAGTGGCGCTCCCGCTCGGCTGTTCCCCCGTCTAAACGGCGCACCCTCCCAGACAATGCAGCTCCCTCAGTGCAGTGTTTGTCTTTACAGCGAGACACAGAAGGCTCGCAGTGCAGCCATCTTTACAGGCCCCTCGCGCGTCTCATTCCAGGGTCGTTCGGACCGGTGCCTCTGTTGGGCGAACGAAGGACGTGCCCAGGCTTTTCCTTGTTTTCGTTCTTGAGTCTCGTTTCGGTGTCGCCCGGGAATTGGACAGGAGGCCATTGTTCCTTTATGTTTGCCCTTTGGCGCGTCTGGAGTCTCTGCCGACGCAGTTTGAGAGTGTCTAGGACGACTGAGACGCGACGTCTTCAGCAGCTCGTAGACTCTTCCTGATGATGCATATACTTAAGAGAGAGATGGAGAGACTATGGGACCACTGTGCGCTTTCTTTTGCTCAAGGCAGCAAAAAGCGCGCGCGCGTGTGTAGGTGGCGTTGTTCTTTCGTTGGAACGAATACGTTGGGACGCATTAGCGAAGATATTTCGAATTCTGCTGCCGGTCTTCTTCGAACTCTCGAACGCGAACGTAAGGGGGGATACGAGGTAAACGGACGTGTCTGAACTTCGTCGTAAGCGCTACTTGAGATGTGTTTTTGATCGGATTTCTCGAAAGAAGAAAGCAAGAAAGGTGTTGTTATCGTCTTGTAGACGTCACTGTCGTTTGATGCCGGGACACGGATCTATCGGATCCGTGATGTATGTCTGGCCACTTAAATACGTCCACTGAAGTTGAAACCGGGCACACTACCTCCCGACAGCCGGAAAATGCGCTTGAACGTAATGAATGCTTCGAAATCAGAATAGAAAGAACGTACTGTATTTGTTAAGCTTCTGCAATAAGTAAACATCTCACTGCGCGCTCTCTTGCTTTCTCTGTCACGAAGACACTAAATGGGTCAACGTTTTTCTTTTTTTTTTTTTAATGCGCTCATTTTATATTATACTGCGTGTACTTTGCACATTATGCATCCGACTTTTGTCTTACGTATTTCTGTTCCATTTTTGGCTCATTTCCTACGCAAATGCGCAGATTGGGTTTTTATACTTTTCGTAGTGAGTGGTTCGCGCAGTCTTGTAAGAGTGATGATATATCGGCCTTTGCATTTTGAGACATTCGTGAGCGAAGTCTCGTTTTCTCACTGTACGAGATAAGACGAAAAAAAGAAACTTGCTTTGAGGTTATTGTTTCTATTATTAGTATTAATAAAGTTACGTTTTACTCATCAGCCGGGATCAAACTGCTTTTACATCATACAATATATAGTCTGCAGATCATATCAGTCACCGCGATATTCGTGGTTAAAATGCGGCCGCGTGCCAAGTTTCTCCTTGAACTCGTTGCCATGCGGCATTCGAAGCACGCGGATCTCGTGGTGACTTGCGTTCGAATCTGCTTGCAGACTGTCTTTTTTATTATGTATAAGCAGTGTGACCCCGGCCTTAGGAAGTCTAGCAGCTTCAAAGCACGTAAAACAAGAGCCGCGATACGAAAATTATAAATTTTTGTTTGTTCCCTTCTACAGTTTTCCTTTTTTTAATTTTGTGTGTCGGGTCGGCAACAACGGTTTGTACTCTGGAGCGGCCATTTCGTACATCGAAGAAACCGGCGAAGGCAACTTAATAACACTTCGAACAAACGGAGATAAGAATTATAAATATATATATATATATATATATATATATTCTTTTTTTTTTTAATGTTGCGCTTAATATTTAAAACAAATAAAAATGACCTCTGTGCCAACGCGTGATTCCAAACGGGTGAGTCGCGCGTTTGGAATTGGCCGCCACCGCGTGATTCACACGGAAACACCCGGATAACACCCCGGAATGAATCACCGCCTGACATCACAATGCAGGCCACATCCAAAGGCGGATTGGCGGAACCTCGCAATGAAGCGGCTGGCGTTCTTGCGGTTGCAAGCAGCAAGTCGTTGTGGCTTTCGGCCAATGCTACTTGTCCTACTTCTTGGCAACGCGATTGGTCCCGGGGTGCTTATCTCAGGGGTGATATCAGAGTTCCGATGTCGGTACAATCATTTCGCCCGTTCCGATGTCGGTACAATCAATTCGCCTTAGGAGATTCGCCAATAGCCGGGTTTCTTTTGCCTCTTACCAAATGTACGTAGCTTGCGAAGTTTGGAAATGAAAATGTGTACTCGCGCACTCTAAAAAAAGTCCGTGAGTCTGCTTTCCCACACAACACTCGGAGAACCAATCAGCCCAGCCTACGGAGGCAGCACAGCGAATGACAATGCCGAAACATATGTTTAGACCAAAAAACACAGTCTGAGTTGTGACATTAAGCAATGCAAGCGTGACGTTTTGCATTGCTTAATGTCACAACTCAGACTGCGTTTTTCGGTCTAAACATATGTTTCGGCATTGTCATTCGCTGAGCTGCCTCCGTAAGCTGCGGTGATTGGCTCTCCGAGTGTTGTGCGTGAAAGTAGACGCACGGACATTTTTTAGAGTGCGGGCGGTAATTACGGAAAAAAAATGTATATTGCGCGTCTGGTTTCTTGCAGGGCAATCGGAATGGCACTCGCTCTACGGATAAAGTCAATTAGTTAACAGGCCCAGTTTGACCCATATATCTAATGCGCACAAAAACTCAAAAATTGGACAAAAAAAAAAAGTTGTTGGTTTAGCTTTTTTTTTTTTTTTTGCAGAACACAGAGACATCTATTGACAGCGAACGATAAAAGGATTCCAGCAAATCAAAAAAGCTCAAAATACGAGGAAAACAAAGAAGAAAAAAAAAAAGAATGCCACATGGGCAAGGACAATGAGCAAGTGAAATGTCATATGTGTTTGTTTCAGCCCACATCACAGTTTTTTGGCTTATCATGTTCTGTGCTTTGCCTCTCGCTGGGATCCTTCAATTGTTTGCCGTGATTGGCTGTCTTGTTGCTTTACAAGAAAGAAAAAAAAGCGAACTCGGACACTTTGTATGTTTTCATTTAGAGTATGGCGTTTCGTGCGGGCTATGTGCCCCGTGTTCGATGACGAATTCGAAGGTTTCAAAGGCTCAGGCTGACGTCGAATTCCGCAGTGCCGGGGTCTCGTTGGCCGAAGTACATGCGGGAGGCGAAGAAGCAAGTAAAGTAACTATAGTCGCCGACAGTTTTCACACAGTGCCTTGGGACCTCTTAATACCTTTTACGACAAGAGGACACATTGGCGCCGTCTACTGGGTTGCAGTGGAAACTTGGCGGTCCCGCATATTTACTATTTCTCTCGCGCATCATCCTTTCTTTCTTGGCTCGAAAAACTTTTGTCCACGTCATAAACGACCATTTCTCATAAGTACTACGCACATTTGACCTCGGAAATCTCGCAAAACATCCGCTCTAGTGAAATGCGGTTCCAGGGTCACCGCATAGATGGCGCCAACGTGACAGTGTGTTCTCTCGTTCTAAGAAGTTTGAAGAGAGGCACTCGGTTCTGAGTCGCAAGTGTGGGAACGGGCCTTTACGTTCACGCTTCGTGGTTGGCCATTCGATGTTCTTATCGGCTGATTCCGCACGCTCATTGGCTGAGAAGCTATAATGAGATGCTCAAAACTCGCCTCGCCCTGCGTTGCTGATGTTGTTAGTGACTCTGGCTCATTTACATGGTTAGTCCCAGCGTTCCAAAGGGCGTCTTGACGTCACAAACCTCCTCTCAGTTTTGGTAATGGTTCGTTGGTCGGTCTCCTCAAACTGAAGGTGTCAAGAGGGAGGACTGTCATACACGCAGTAGACGCAACACCACGAACGTCCGCACCTGGATCCTGTGTTTTCCGGCGCGTTCCGCTGAATGTAGACGGCGCCGACGCCACTTAGCCGGGATAATGTCCGTTCCCACGCGAAACGAGGACGTAAATAAATGCTTCTTTCGTTACCAAGTCACACATGGTGAAAGTCACACATGGTTGGGCTGTATCCTTACCCCAACTCACCCGATACTCGTCGTTACTGGTCGTTGTCTGCACCAAGACGTCAGAAGTAGACGATCTTAACATCTGTCATTTTCTGTGTTTCTGTATGATTTGTCGATTGTACGTAGTAATTGACGTCTCGCACGTGCACAACAGGCAGTTAAACGGACGAACAAGCTTAAAAGCGCGACTTCCAGGACGATCGCTCCACTCTGTAAGAAAGCCAACTTGAGAGCGGGAGATCGGTGCCCGAATGAGACACGGTGAGGGATCGGTACCATAGCTTTGTGCATTTCGCAAAGAGAAGTCTAAGTGGAGAATGGGTTGTGTGGTTGATTGTCTAAATCGCGGGGTCCCTCACGGCCAAAACCTTCGGCTCTCTTTGCAGCGAGCCCGATGGACCTGCAGAAGCTGGGGCTGAGCGAGGCGGCGCTCTTCAGCGGGCCCCTGTACGGCAGCTACCCGTCGTCGCTGTTCCTGCAGAGCTTGACGGCATCACCGCTCATGTACCAGATGCTGAGCACCATCCCGTACCCGTGCCCTCCCCCGCCGCCCTACTCGTACCGCTCCACCTGCTACCCGTACCCTGTGGCCAGCAGCTCGCCGCCGGGCGCCGCGGCCTCGGCCGTCTACGCCCCGCACCTCCTCGGCGCACAGGTAGCACACGGGGGCTCTGAGCCAGCACCTCCTAGATAACAAGGCCGGAGTGCTGGATTTCCTACGTCATTTACGGGAGGCCAGCCTGTCGTTCATAGCCCAGTCTCCTGTTCTCCCTAATGTCTATGCCTAGACAGCTGGGTACCTAGACTAGTCAAGCACAAAGTTGGAGCCGAAAGTTCGCGGAGCCCGCCGATTGGACGTTGGCGAAAGAAGCGCGAAGTCATCGTCGTGATAAGCCAATCAGTGCGCTCCGTCAACTTCGGCCCCAAATTTGTGTTTTTTCGAGTTTAGAGGCCCTTTTGTAACATAAGACATCGGTCGTGGCAACGCTCTTGGGACATACAGCCGCGGAAAAGCTCGAGCTACTAAACGATGGGATTTCCGTACCGCCCGTACTCCGCAATTTCGACCGCTTTTGTGTGCCGCAGTTTACGTCTTCGCGTGAAGTTTTTCACCAGTTTTAGGCGCCCAAGTCGCTTCCACGCAGATAAATGAACTCTCGGTATTACCTTAGCGAAATAAACGCCATTTGTTTTCCTCGGACAATCCTGTAAACAAACGAAAACAGAAAACAATAAACTCTTATCCTTACCTCGCAAGTCCTGCCCCGTTCGAGGCAGGGACGCAAACCACCTGTTTCTACGATGTGTCCTTCTCGCGCCAGTGCTCGATCTAACAAAGAATTTTAGGAGAGCTACGCTCTCTCGCGTACTCTTTTTTTTTAGCCGTGGATACACAATGTGAGACGTAGACTTCGCTTTATCTTAAGTCCATCCAAGAGAGTAGCCGACCAAGCTCACAGAGTTCGCCGTCCTTCTGTGCGTTCTCTTCCACCGGCTCATCCAATCGAGCGCAGAAAGTGGGGCGTGGCTTTTCGCTCTTAACAGCTCATGTGTGCGCATGCGTGCGTGTCTTCTACACTTCGTTTCACATTATGACCGCAGCCAACGTTACATGCAATCTGATGGAGCCATTCTTATGGCGCCAAAAATATTTCGTCGTCAATTCATCAGCATCAAAGACCAATCACGCGCAGAAAAAATGTGCGTGATCACGACGCATTCACTGTGCCTGATTAATATAGCCGGTGATAAAAAAAAAGTGCACAAAAGACAACCATCACCATAAAGATACACTTTCGGCGCTGTTTGAATGGTTAGATCGGATTGTCGCGTCCTCTGTGGTCGGGCTAAATGCGAAACAGAGTATGGCCTTTGACTGCGCGCGGATTTTAATGAAACGAAAGTATCATAGGTCCCACTCTTGAGTTGCTGCTCTCTTTACCAAGTTCTCTCTCTCTCTCTCTCTTCTGGGGCCACCAGAGCGCAGGGACGGCCGTAACTTCGGGGTCGGCGTCGGCGTCTTGTGCGTCCAGGAGTCCCGAGCTGGCGGTGGCCGACGTGGCATCGAACGCGCCTGTCTTCGGCGGCGTCTTCCGGCCCGTGGCTCTGATGACGGCACGGCAAGCCCCGCCCCCACCGCCCTTGGTTAGTAGTGCACAGCCCGTTCCTAAGTTTGTCCAATCGTCGTCCCTTCCCTTATCCGACTTTGTTTTTATTTTTTGTTTTCAGCGCATAGTGGTTAAACCCTATCGTTTTGCATTCACGCCTCCGCCGTTTGATTATGGAAGATTAAAGACAAAAATTAAGGTGGCTTTAGAACAAGAGGGAGAGAGAGAGAAATAGAGAGGGAGGGAGATGAAGGAGAATACGTTTAATTTTACTGTCGTCCCGGGGCGTTCATACTTGGTGTTCACTCTTTGGAGGCAGCAGAACGATGGCGTTCCTGTCCACTTCCTGTTACCACCTCCACACCGGTAGAAACTGAAGGGCCTGATTGCCATAGGCGCTACTGACCTCGGCACAGCTACGTGTATAAACCTAAGAAACGCAGGGCGGGGCCTATTATTATAATCACGCTTCATTGCTTCGTGATTGGTCCTTCTGCGTTCTTATCGGTTAATTCTGCAACCTGATTGGTTGCGGAGCAATAATGAGATGCACGGGATTCGCGACGCCCTTCGTTTCGTTCCTTAGGCTGCCAGTGCATGTTAACCCTGGTCAGAAGGTTAACCATCCCTGATGATGGGTTTATTTTGGCGCTTCGTTCCATATAACAATTTGGATGACTAGATGTAATATGCGCCTAAAGTACGCGGAGGGATGTCCGAACACGCCCGTAAATAAGCGGGCGCAACAAAATTTTCGAGCCCCGCTCACGTGCTCTCTTCTTGGAGCAAGGAAAGCTGCATTCGCTCGAGAGAAAGAGAGAGAGAGAGAGAGAGAAGGCTTTTTTGTTATGGGAACGTGACTTCTGAACGATTCTCCCGAGGCTGCGAGACCTGCCTCGATAAACACAGAACGCTTTAGCGTGTCTAGTAAATCTGAAGGCTACATGGCAAACACTACTGTAGTGGAAAACTAAAAAAAAAAAAAAAGGGGGGGGGGGGGGGGGGTAAATACAAAGCGGGAAGGACAAATGATACGTCGAGTGTCTCTGTAATGACAGAGCATGTGTTTTCAAAAGTTATAGGCTTATTCTTCCTGCTGCGTAAAATCCTGGTCTTTTTTTTTGTTTTTTTTTTTTTTTGTTTCTCTGGTTTAGATCCTTTTAGGCTTTCCAGACTTCATCCTCGTAGCTGCGCATATTTCCAGGATCCTGCTTGATTGCGAAGTCCGAGAAAACCAAAGTCCGGAACCACGGACAAATCCGACAGGGTTGGATAGTAACAGGGGCTGCGCAGTTGTGTCGAAAGACATCCAGAAGTCTCCTGAACACGAAGGTAACATTGTCGGGAGGACACAAGCTGTGGAGGAGCGTGACCGAGCAAAATAAAAATAGGAAACAATGAAAGGAGTTCAGCACAAAGTCTATGACAGGAGTCTCAATCGACCTGCGGTTTCGCCGGCCAGAAGTAAACTCGTCTAAACAGAACAGGCAAAAGGTTAAGATCCAACGAAAATAAAACAGCGAAGTTTAGCCAAAGGTGACAGCGCGCACAACGCGATTATTAGATAGGTCTATAGCTTTGCCCATATATTGCCACAGAAAGTTGTCCCCGAGTACGATGTCTGCTCGCACGTTTGGCACGTACATTGCTTTGCTTTTCCGAGTAACTAACTAATAATACCCCATTCACACGACCGTAAAGGTATTTTTAGCTAAGGGACCTTTATGCTCTGCGGCCAATCAATTAACGATCTTCCGCGCGTGGCTCTCGCGGCCGAAGAGCACGGGCTGATTCGCCGATAGCAAAGGGGCCTATGTTAAAGGTGTACCTTTATCTTGACCGTGTGAATGTGGGATAAACCGCCCTGCCAAGCTGAACTTGTCGCGTGTTACACTGTCCAGGCCGTAGTCCTAGGTTTTTCCGATCGACCGACCGGAGGCGAGCGTCGATCGCAGATTGGACACGAGACACTACGTCATCATTCGGCTGTGAATCCTGTCCAATCGGTGAGCACACGAGTTCCAGCCCAAGGCCGGCGCAGCACTCGTGGTCAATCTCAATCTCCTGGTCGACCTCTGCAGCCTCCAGTACGTGACCTGTGGAAAACCCAGCACTACGGCCTTCTTATCCCTAGGATGTCTTGACAGTGCCTGACTGCAACTTTGTCAGTGTCAAAACCGCATTCACGCAGTCGGCGACGCCTCCCAACGACGAGTCGAGCGACCTGTCGGAAAACGAGCGGCTCGGCGGGCCCAAGGAGGCAGCGCTGGTCGCTGCTGAGGCCACCGGGGTTGCGGTGCCTCTCAGCTTCGCCCGGCCGCACCCGAGGGACGTCCGCTGAGCCTCAAGCCCGGGACCCCCGCGAGCGCCGCCGTGCGAACCAAGACGCGCGCTCAGGCAAGTCTCTCTTCACTGAAGCGTAAATGCCTACTTTCCTGCAGATGTATACAGACTGACACAATATCGCTAGAGGCGGATGTGAGACAAATGAAAAAGAAAGTCATCAGGAGGCTTTCAGGAGACTCCTTTTTTGTTTTTCACTTGCCACATACCAGCCTCTCGGCTTCACCTTAAAAAAAGGGGAAAAAAAACTAAAATGAAAGAGAAAATGTTGTTTTAAAGGGCTTCAGTGAGACACGTAATTCCTTTTGTAATTTTTCAACGAAGAAAAAAAATCGTATTTTTCGCTTACAATGTGCGACGAAACGAAAGCTATAGCTGTAGCACGGTCGTGCAGTGGAATGGTGCCGTTACGTGCCTGAAGACGGAAGTGCGACGTGGTTACTTCTCATGGCCGTCGTGGTTGGCGTCGTGGAGGCCACTGACGACCGCCACCAGTGCTCGGTGATCCGTGAAGTGGATAAACGCGGTGGAAGTTTCTAATGTCATCCAAAATTACGCGTAGCAAGTGGATACTGCGAAAGTGGGATTTCGCATAACGCGAGGAATGTTTGGAAACTGAAGCAGACGACACGAAGATTCTCCCTTCGTCCCGCCATTCTAGGCGGGACGCCAGGACTGCCCTCTTCGCGCGTTACGGCCCAGGGGGTGTCCAGACTTCCCTTTCCTCGCGCCAAGAGGGGAGAGAAAAAGGGTTGTTTTCCTTCTTCATGCGCGCAGCGACGACAGCTCACGAGGTCTAAATCCCTGCAAAGTGTCGCCCGTAAAGCGCTTTAAAATTTCGCGCAATCTGTACGCCGTTAGACGCAGTTTAGGTGGAGGTCACGGCCCGCTATAAGCCCCGCCCACAGATCATTTCCAAGCCCATGCAGTAGTCTATTACTACTGCATGGGCTTGGCAGCTCGGCCGAATAGGCTCGCAAGTCTAGTGTCTCCTCGCAAAGTCCGGTGCGTCTAGTTTGGCGTCTGACACCACCTGCTAGTCGTGCGAGCAGAAGCGCAGCATCCTTCACATCGTCTGCTATTCCACCACCGTCTCTCATCGTCTGCAACGCTCGTAAAATGGTATCCAGTATAGGGAGAAATCCCAGAGGGGGGAGAAATCCCGCGGAAAAGGGGGGCGGGCGGGGGAAGGGGGGGGGGATGGGATGGATTCCGGGGACTTTTTCCCGACGCGCGCATTACGCAACGAATGCGTTATGCTTTCTCGATGCGGCGCTGTGTGACGTCAGCTCCACGGCAAATGACCGCTGCCACAGCAGCGGTTGTTTGCTGAGACTGATCTCGCCATCGCGAAATATGTTTCAAAGAAAACGAATGTCATTCCGGGAGTGGCCGCTGGCGTAGCATGGCGCTAAACGCCAAGAGGTTTGAAAACTTGCTCTCTCTCATTTCCGCCCCTTTTCCCTCCTTCCCCCAACATTGGTGACCTCTTTTGCTCAGTGTTGATGCACCGTCATTCAGTTGTTTTCTTTTGTCGATGGGAACGGCGCTCTGCACGCTAACGAAAAGAAAAGAAAAACGACAAAGCAACAACAACTATTCACGAAAAAGACTGCGAAAAAGACAGATGGCGTCGCATGTTACAAAACTCTCGCACTCCAAGCGGCGGACAAGGGAACTTGGCGGACAAAAATGGGTCAAAAAAAGAACCCAACCTAATCGACATGGAAACGAATAGGGAGGGCGCGGAACATGGAAGTACAAATAGCGACGTCTGCCATAAAGAAACAGATTGCCCGACCCGTGTCCCAAATAGCAAAATCAAATCTGCGTTTTATTATTCCGGGTTTCTGTTGTCTTCTGGATTCTCTTCGACGCAATAATAAAAGGTCAGGGCGGGCTATAGCAGCGGTACAGCCGCGGGCCACACGCCGTAAATTACCCAACTCCCCAGGGTTCATTGTACAGAAGGAAAAAGCCAACGTTGTTTTCCTGCGCCGTGTGCGTAGACGTACGAAACGTCGGCCATATCGTATATTCGTCAAACGAATCGCGGGGCCGACAGTCGAGAAGCGTGCGACGATTTACCTTCTCTTCGCGAGCGGCCAAACTTGGGAACCTTCCGACGAGAATCGCGTTTACCCGTGCATGCAGAACGCGCGTCCCAGACGAACCGATTACACCCTTCAGCCGGCCTCTACGGCCGCGAGACTTCCCATTGCCGTGCTTGCGCGGCGCCTTCCTTTGTTCTCTCGCGGGAGGACACCTACCGTGGCCGTCCCATCAGGAAACAGACCCAAGAACAAGTGAGGGGGCTCGAAAAGAGTGCGAGCGCGCGCCCTAGACTCAAAATTTATTCCGGCATAACTTAGCCTCGAGCCGCGTTAGCCACAGGGTTAACCGCGAACCTGGCCTGAGCGACTTATGTGATCGCGTGCTGCTTCCCCGTGCTCTCACGTGCAACATAAATAATGCCGCGTCCCCTCCCTCCCTCGGCGTCGGCACAATCGCGGCTGACCAGTCTCCTTCTTCGCCCGTTCACTTCCCGGAAAGACTTTGAGCGCTGGAGCCTCCAAAGACGGGGATGTATACTAGTATATGCGACGCGGTCCGTCGCTGGAAACGGGTTAAAAGCGGGTGTCTCGCGGCAAAAAGGAAAGTTACATACTTTCCCGCCTTTGGGAGAGATCGCCTTATTTATTTCTCGGTCGGTATTTCAGAGCCCTTCGGCTACGATGTCGAAAGGAAGCGCTTGAAAGTGAGCTCCTCTCTCTCCCTGGGAGCGCTTCGTGCGCGCGTGATGTGTGCTTCCTTTGAACGTGCGTTTTCGCGTGCTTCCTCTACATGTGTACGTGCCCCGGGGACGCTTCTGAGTGTCGGGGGACTTTGCTCGAGAACTTCGTTTATCGTTCTGTTCCGCTGCCAGATTAATAGCTAATGACGCACGCATACAGGTGCTTGCTTAGCGTTGCGAACTATGCTTATACTTTTTTATATTATAATATGCTTTTTCGGTTATTGCTCGTTGATGTCGCCGTAATTTAATGTAGACCTGTTTACACACGGACCGCAGCGCTGGAAATGGCGCTGACTTTGCTGATTCAGCGATGAATTCGAAGGATACGAACTGATGCAGTGTTGATACAGCTATGTATCAGTGCTAAGCTAGTTTCGAGCCATTACTGCATCAGTTCTGTTCCGTCTCCAGAGCGACGTCCCGATTTTCGTCATGTGCAGGGTTGTGCGAATATTCGAAATTTCGAATAGTAGTTTGTAATAACACGCTATTCGATATTCGCTTCGAGAAAAACTACACTATTCGCATTCTTTGAAGTGTTGATTGAGGGGGGGGGGGGGGGGGGGGAAGAGAAGGGGTTAGCCCCGTTGAGCGCGCTTCTTACCGAGCACCAGTGCACTGCGGGGAAGCAATACCCGCGGAAGTGAGCTCCGCGGATGTAGCTTCTTTGCATTGCATCGATGATCGGTAAGAAGCGCACTCCACGGAGTAACCTGCCGATATTAAACACTTGGAAGAGTATGAATATCGCATTTGCGTGCTTGGAAGAAAAGCATACATTTAAAGCTGGATGGTGCACGCGTGCCGGCCTTATTTGAAAATCAAAGGAAACTTTGTGAATCTGTATATCTATATTGTGGTAAAAGTTTTAAAAATTAAACTGACTGTTATGCAAGAGCATATGTTAGGCAGAGATGTCTTTACAACCTATGCGCGATTCTTTCTTTTTTTAACTCGAGTATAAAGAAAGAATATTTTGTATAGCAAGATTTCTTAATTCACGCAATTAGGTAAAGTTGGCCACCTCTATAGGATTCATTTTATATTGTAGGGACCCATTTGCACGGTACGCATAGAAGACAAGAAGGACAAGCGCGTGCCACGGGACCAAAAACGAGCTCGAGAGACGGAACGACCGGCGTGACGTTATAAGCTTTCTGTGATCGCAGCTACCGTTCATGGACTCCGCACATCTAATGTAAATATTGTAAAATATTGTAGATAGAGTATTAAAGAGTCAAGTACCGCGTACCTACAATATCATTTCCGTCGTTTACTTGCCATCCCACATCAGACCTTCTGAGGTCGCAGTTAATAAATATAGATAGATTAAACTTAGCTTATAAAGGAACAAGTAGAACAACCTTCACAAGTGTAGCTGGGCCTTTGTCTAAGCATGATGGAACAGTTGTGAGAGGCATGGATAAACTATTCGATATTCGAATCGAAAATATTCAACCAAAACCACTATTTGCTTCGAATTCGCTTCGAACTCGAAATCCACCATTCGCACAAGAGTAGTCATGTGTCAAAAGCAAAGTCAGGTTGCTGACGAATCGAGCAATCTTCCGCGGTGCTTGTTCATAAGGATGTGTGGCCGACGTTGTTACGCTCGAGGTTATATATAGATAGACCTTTGCATCGCATATCACCCGGGCAAAGAATGCTGAGTCACTGAGCTGCGGACGCATGCGCAGCGTCTGACATAACGCACAGCAGAGCAACAGCGCATGCTCAGAAGGCGCTCCACAGCCCAGCAAACAAAGATGGCGGTGCGCAGAAGGCGATTTTTGCAAAGGTCTATAAAATAATGTCTTTGCCCGCTTCAGACAGCCGCGCGTTGGCGGTGTCCCAACCGACCTCCAACTTTTCTTTCCTTATATTATATTTGGTTTGCGTTACCAATGCTAACACGGCAGCAGGTATAGTTGTATTTACATGGATGCCAGAGGCTCCTTGTCTCCAAAGCAGGTTTTTTTAATAAGTTCGCCCCGCGTTTCCCTTTTTTTTTTTTTTCTTATGTTTAGTAACGAAGCACACATCGAGCCCAAGTTAAGACCCTGCACAGAAGACGATACGGCGCAACTTTGAACTTACGCAACGCAGTGAACAGCAATAAAAGCCCGCAAGCAACACCCCGAGATAAGGAACATATGAGGCGACATTGATTCCTCGTTCGCCTTGTGTTAACACCACAAACAAATGAACACTCCTGGAAGGCGTGTTTTATGCCTAGCCATCTGGAAAAAATAAGGAA